GGGGGGGGGGGGGTGGGCTATAAAAATTGTGGGTGGGTCACTATTTTTTAACACGTTAAAAAGGGTGGGTCAGGAAAAATAATGCACTGCATTAGTGGTGGGTCATGTTAAATTATTCACATATCACTACAGACGTTAGTAAAATCTCTTTTTAACACTAAATCTAATTTTCCACATTAATCCAACTTTATATGACAACAGGAATTCACATATTAAATGTTTTGTTTCTATTTATGTACAGTCTTTAAATCTGAAGAGTAGTCACGCGGGAAACTTTTTATAGTATAAAATCTAGAACAAAGCTTTACTGTGTGTTCATAAACCTAACTTATGTTAACATCTTTTTTAATATCTTCTTATAATCATCTTTAGTCATCTTCACCATTACCATCACCCTCAGAAGCATTACCATCCTCCTCCTCCTTGTCCTCCTCCTTCTTCTCATTATCATCATCATCATCACTATCATCTATAGCACTCAATACAACTGGTGACACGTTTGCTCTGATTGTTTCAATAGCATCCACTGTAAATTTACCTTTACTTATTAATAGTTTTAACCACCTACCACCTCTCTTTGTTAAGCTGTTAAGGCCTATCATACTACAATGATCGGAGGTTATAACTTCACCATAAAATAATGAGTGACTGATTGCGGAGAACACTCTCTCACAATTTTTCTCTGCTCTTTCACGGCCTCGCTTCCTAGCTTTTGCTTTATTTTCCTTTCACTCTTCTCTTTTTCGAGACGAATGTTTCTTTTTCAAAAGGATACATTCTCTTGTGTTTTTCTTTTTGGGTCTCTGCCCTCATCAAAGTCTCATCAAAGTCATCAAAGCATTTTTCATTAAAGCGTTGCCTACTGATAGTTTTTCCAGACTTTTTAGTGAACCGCTGGGCATTCTCTTTCTGGATACCATTCTTCAGCTTCTCAGATTTCTTTTTCAAATCCTGAAGTTTTTTAACCTTGTGATTAATTGGTTGGCGGTCAGTAGGCTTTAAGGGTTCCTCTTCTGAATTGCCTTATGGGATTGCTGCTTGCAATGACAGCTGACAGCTGGCAGTGAAGGTCATACGGGCGTCTGCCTTCGGAATGGAATTTTTTCACAAAATCTCGTGCATTTCTTGACCACTTCCATTGGCATTCATAAAAAAAGGGTACAACATCTTCATTAAGAAATTTAGGTCGTGCCGACTTGTGATTTGGATCACTTTACCAGAAGGACATTCCAGAGAGATAGATGATTATCAACCAAGGGCTCAGATTAAAAGGCATGTAAAAGAAAGATAACTAACCCTTGAAGACAGTGACTCAATTGTTGAGTTTTCCTAAACCTTTGCTTTTCAGGAATTACATGTGCGAAAGTACTTCAAGCACCTCCAGTATCTTGAAGTGAAGAAATCAAAACGAAAAGAAGAACGATGATTACAACTGGGAAGAGGTGTTCATGGCGGGAACACTGAAAAGGCTAAAAGTACCAGCTCTGAATCTCTTTCTGGAAAAGCACCAATTGGGAAATAAGAAAATGAAGAAAAACGAGAAGCTAGTATTAATTTCAGCTTGTTTAGCCAAAGCCCAGCTTGACAAAGCAACTATTGAGCAAGCTGCGAGAAACGTTAACGTGGAAGAAAATGTTGATTTTCATGATGGCGAACACGAGGAGGAGACAGGGTACGATGACGATGACTATAATAGTGTTCACGCAGATGATACTGATGGTGATGACAACAATGACTGTGGCGACAAAGAGTATGATGGCAGCAGCAAAAACTACGATGTTGTTCTCCAAGAGATTGGAAGTTCCAGCGAAGAAGAGGGAGACGATGATGACTAAAGTGGTAAGCCAATGTTCCCTAGTGTACCTATGCACATCAGCGTTACTGGTTTTGGTTGGGGGGTGGGTCACTAGTTTTTTCTGTGCCACTCCAGGGGTGGACCGCACCAATTTTGTCAAATAACTCGGAGGTGGGCCACTGAAAACCAGTACTTAAAAAAAAAAATTCATAGCCC